CCACTTCCGCTGTTTGTTGTGATTTTAATACTGTAATTTGTTCTGTTTTTCTGTAGCGATTACCGATTTATCGGCAAATACGGCGATTTGAAAACTTACTTTTCTTTATTTATTTCATTCTACAGCATTTATAGTTCTACAGCTATCTTATACAGTTCTATAATATTGTGAATGATTCCGAATATTCAAAACGAATTGAAAAAATGAAAGCAGTAATGATGTACTGTATAACGGTTTGGCTTAGCCGGCCGTACAGCTCACTGCCACCGGTCACTGAGCCGAAGGATAAACCGAAAATTCACTTTTCTCATCACAAGATTTAATGTTCAGTCGATCCGCTACATTGAAAGATAAGTATACTTGGCTATTTTTTGGCAGGGGTAACGAAATATATCGGCTGTTCTCTACAGTAATTGTTTCTTTATGTGTTGCCCATCGGAATATAATATAACTACATAAGCTTGCTAGATGTAAGATAACGAGTTTCACAATCCCATTTTAAATACTATGGCTTTTGGCAGCCTGATTTTGCATCATATGTGTTTTTCAGTAAAAGCCTCATTTTCCTACTTCCCCAACGTGTAATACGCGAAAAAAACTTTGTTAATAATAACAAAAAATTGTAATAGTAAACAATGTATTTTATTATAAAGGATTTTCGTTTTTCTATAAACAATGTATTTTATTATAAAGGATTTTCGTTTTTCTACTGCTCCGTACTTCGTGTGCTCCGTGCTCCGTGTGCTCCGTACTCCGTGTGCTCCGTGCTCCGTGTGCTCCGTGCTCCGTGTGCTCCGTGCTCCGTGCTCCGTGTTTTACTAATAGCGTGCTCCGTGTTTTACTAATAGCCATTTACTGTAATTCCGTGTGCTCCGTGCTCCGTGCTCCGTGTTTTACTAATAGCCATTTACTGTAATTAATTTGTTCTGTTTTTCTGTAGCGGTTACCGATTTATCGGCAAATACCGCGATAAAACGTAGTTTTCTTTATTTATTTTATTCTACAGCATTTATAGTTCTACAGCTATCTTATACAGTTTTATAATATAATAGTGAATGATTCCGAATATTCAAAACGGATTGAAAGAATGAAAGCAGTAATTATGTATAACGGTTTAAACGTAGGCCGTACAGCACACTGCTCACTGGTCACTGGGACGAAGGATAAACCGAAAATTCACTTCTCTCCATGACAAGCTTTTATAATGTTCAGTCGATTCGCTACATTGAAAGATGAGTACTTGGCTATTTTTTGGCAGGGGTAACGAAATATATCGGCTGTTCTCTAAGTGTTTCTTAATGCGTTGGCCATCGGAATATCATAATATAACTACATAACTCATACATAAGCTTGATAGATATGTGACGAGTTTCACAGGCACAATCCTATTTTAAATACTGTGGCTTTTGGCAGTTTTGCATCATATGTGCAGTAAAAGCCCCATTTTTCTACTTCCTCAACGTGTAAAACGCGAAAAAACTTTATTAATAAGAACAAAAATTTGTAATAGTAAACAGTGTATTTTATTATAAAGGATTTTCGTTTTTCTATAGTGCTCCGTGCTCCGTGTGCTCCGTGCTCCGTGTGCTCCGTGCTCCGTGTGCTCCGTGCTCCGTGTGCTCCGTGCTCCGTGTGCTCCGTGCTCCGTGCTCCGTACTCCGTGCTCCGTGTGCTCCGTGCTCCGTGTTTTACTAATAGCCCAGTTTTTCATATAGGCCTAAACACAAAAGAAATTCATCCCGCTTACCGGCTCTCTCCGTGCTCCGTGTTTTACTAATAGCCCAGTTTTTCATATAGGCCTAAACACAAAAGAAATTCATCCCGCTTACCGGCTCTCTCGCTAACCGGGCCACCCTGGCCTCCATATAAACAAACCCTAAGTCATAATGAACCGACAAACACAGTTAAAAAGTGACTCGGACATTTGACTCGGTTAACCGACAAACTCCGAAATGAAATAAAATTCACAGTCAAATAGGGTTAGGGTGCGTTAGGAGTGGGGTACTGGGGTTAGAGTTAGGATTAGGGTATTAAGTCATTGAACTACAAAGACCACTAAACAGTGACTCAGACATTTGACTAAGGCTCGGATTTGGCTCAGATTTGACTCGGTTAACCGACAAACTTCTTTCTGCTCTTGTAAGTTTCAACATTTTCTTGGGGGCATACCCCCAAATCTCCAGGATGCAAAGAACTTACTTCATCTCAGTACTAGCCCTCCCAATCGTAAAATTGCTGTGTGGTCCAGAGTAGCCAGGTAGTGACAATAACACCATGCAGAAAGCTGGGGATTGAGAAGGGTTTGCAGACACACCAGAAAGCTGCAGATTTACCTGCATTTTTCAGGTAGTTGAATCCCTCTCCATCCACAGCTTTATGGTATATATACAGTCTGAAGTCACTCAGAAATGTCGAAGTTGTTATGAATACAGGGTGTATAAAAAAAAACTGAACAGATTTGAAATTGCTCTCAATTTCGCAAAACACATATTTGTATCCGGTTTATATATATATATATATATATATATATATATATATATATATATATATATATATATATAGTTTCTTTGGGTACTTATAATGTAGAATAATGAAAAAAATTTCTCGAACTCAGATTTTGTGAACCGGGGGGGGGGTGTCTTTTCCAACAAACTAAAAATGGCTTGCGCACGAAATTTAAATGCATTAATCATATTTTGAGTTAATAGATGGAAAATTTGTTGGATTTTTAATTTAATTTGCTTTAGTTTAAGCCCTTTAACTATTCATTTTTCCCTAAAAAATCAGCCTTTCGCATGCTTAATTAATACCTTTACTTAATTTGCATATTGCTGACAAATGCAAATTAGGCAAAGGCATTAATTAAGCATGTTTGCGCGCATAGTGAAAGGGCGTAAACTAGAGCAAATTGTGCGAAATTTTGGACAGTAATTACAAACCCAACAAATTTTTCATCTATTAACTCAAAATATGATTAAAGCTTTCAACAAATTTTTCATCTATTAACTCAAAATATGATTAAAGCTTTTAAATTTCGTGCGCAAGCCATTTTTAGTTTGTTGGAAAAGACAGGAAATTTCGTGCGCAAGTCATTTTTTGTCTGTTGGAAAAGACACGCCCCCTGGTTCACAAAATTTGAGTTCGAAAATTTTTTAAATTTCGTGCGCAAGTCATTTTTTGTCTGTTGGAAAAGACACGCCCCCTGGTTCACAAAATTTGAGTTCGAAAATTTTTTTTCATTATTCTACATTACAAGTACCGAAGGAAGCTATATACATCGAAAACTGGATACTGATAGCTGTTTCGCGTAATTGAGAGCAATTTCAAATCTGTTCAGCTTTTTATACACCCTGTAGTGATAACCTGAATATTTGTGCTTTTAGCAATGTGAATAAATCAAATGCTAAAATAAACCACGTTATGACCTTGAATCTTCCTCATTCTGGTTTAATATTTGCAATCAGTGGTAACAACTTCTGTCCATACGGCAGCATTTCCCCCTTGCGATAGTAACTTCTAGTTAAATACCTTATTGAATTCTGATCGTTTAATTGGCTGTTTATGGTCACGTGTTATTGAATAGAAAATTCCATTTCCCAAGAGTGCAATGGAATACGTTCCATAGTATAAAACGTATAGTACAATTGCATGCAATCTCTGTGTTTTCGATAAATCGAATCTCTCGAAATGCTTCTCATACGAATCTATTAGTCTATTTTGGTATTATATAAAACAAATAATGAATGTTTTTTCGTGCAGTGGTAAGAATATTTTCATTCGGTGAAAGATGGAATGTTCCATTCAACTCGGCTGTCGCTTCGTTGAATGGAACATTCCATCTTTCACCTCATGAAAATATTCTTACCGTTGCACTCATAAACATTCATTATTTGTATAATATACAAGAATTATATTACAGACAATTTAAATACAGACATATTAACAAGAGTGGGTAGTAGCGAAGTAGTTGTAGTTCGCTACTGTAGCGAACTACAATTTTCAAGTAGCCAGTAGTTTTTGACTACTTTTTTAAAACAGTAGCTGTAGTTATAGCGAACAACATTTTGCCTAAAAGTAGCCAAGTACTTGACTACTTTTCAAACAGCGAATCGCTATTCGCTACTTTTTTAAATTGTTAGCAACTTGATAGAATAAAATGATATTGAGACACGGTTTGCTTAAAATCAATACTCAACAGTCAATTTGCACTCTTGAACACTGTAGTGCTTACAAAAATGTTGCTTTGTGTCGTACTGTTGCTACTCGTAAGTCGATTTGTTATAGGTTACATTTCAACCTGAGTTAGTATATAGATGCTCCAAATACAGTAAAACTAAAAAATATAGCGTAGCGAAATAGTCGTTACATTTTTAAAGCAGTAGCTGTAGTCAGTAGCGAACTACACCTTTGTTCAAAAGTATCACTAGTAGTTGTAGCTGACTACATATTTTTGAAGTAGCTGTAGTTATAGCGAACTACAAAAATTTTGTAGTCAACCCACCCTTGCATATTAAAATGAAATTAAATTCAAGAAAGAGGAGAAACAAAGAAAACAAGATAGCATCGGAAGTTAACAAGTCAAAACAATTTAACGATGCGGCATTTTTGTTAAAGCTCGGGGTATTCGAAAGTTTTGCTCCACTATGACCAACAATCTTTTTCATTAACTCACTTTTAGGTTTTGGCCAATATCATCACCAACCAAGGGGGTTTAATTAGCGTTCCCGAACCTCAGAAGAGTATTTTTCATGTTTCCAGAGAGGAGTTTTTTCAAAGTTGTGAACTTCCCTTCATTTAGAAATTCAACAGTTTGTAATGCACTATACTGTATATTACGAAAGTCACCGAACTGTGGAATCGCATAAAAAATTCGTATATCGACCACTCCCACAAACGTCTACGACCGTGCCTACATAGTTTTGCATGTTTACAATTCTAATTTTGAACAGCCAATCAGGTTCTTGGTAACAATTACAATTAAACGTCGATTGGCTGTTTAAAACCCTGGAGAACCCATGGGGTCATATATGACCCCACTGTATTGAAAAGCTCATTGTTAGTGACATGTTTGATGATAATTATTTTTTCCCAGTAATACCCAGAGTCCCACATATGACCCACCCGAAAAAGTGATCTGGTGACGAATTTGTAAAATTACGTCATTGGAATTTTCGAAACAAACATGGCGATTTTCACTGTGAGTTTAGTAATTTTGAATTGCGGTTTTCAAGGAATAATCAAGCCATAAAGAAGTAAGTTACATATATTTTTATGACTGGAACTAAAGGGTAAGTTATTAGTGAACAAGTGAAACGTATTTTGGCGAGGTTTTTGTGAATTTGTGATGCATACAGCAAATTGTAAAATCGACGGGTCACATATGACCCACTGGGTCGCTGTGGACATTTTTGTCAGGGGTCATATTTTTGAAATGTGATGAAGTATTATGCAAGATTTAGCATATAAATCAAATCAGTCTTCCCAACTTTACACCAACTTGGTGAGGGTTTTGTAGACTTATAGTTTAGGTAAATATAAAGGTTCTGTTTTCAGAGATAAAATATGAATATACATAATATAGAATTAGAAAACATTTTTATTTATAGTGTCTGTTTTCTTTTTTCATGATTCAGTTTGTCATGGCTAGCCGCAGTAAGCGAGATTGTGTTCCTGTTGAGCAAGTTATAGATGAAATTGATGTAAATGTTAGTGATGTAAGCCTAGATGGCCCAAGTGATGAGTCGGATAGAGATGAAGTGTATGACCCAGGTAATATCGATAATTTAGAGAGTAGTGACTCTGAAAGTGACCATGAGCACTTATCAGAAGTGAATGACGAATCCAGTGGTGATGATGATGTACCTCTCGCACAAATATTGGCCAGCGCCACAGAGGGAAAAACCAAGACAAAATATACATGGCGAAAAAAGGATTTCGTAGCACCCCAAGATCAATTTCAGGGTGAAATAGTTGAACCAACCGATCCAACTGGAATAACAGAGACACCCTTACTTTACTTCAAGCGCTTTGTAACACAGGAAATGATAGAACTGATAGTGGATTATACTAACAGATACAGTGTCCAAAAGCAGGGTAAATGTGTAAATACATCTGCGAAAGAAATTGAACAAGTACTGGGCATGTACTTCAAAATGGGCCTTGTTGAGATGCCTTCAATACGGATGTACTGGGAAAAAGAAACCAGATACCCTCCAGTTACAGAAGTTATGAGCAGGAATAGATTCCAGCTACTTCTTTCTCTGATTCATTTTGTGGACAATGAAACTGTGTCAGAGGAAACCAAGAAAGATCGCCTTTGGAAAATTCGACCATTTCTGGACATGTTCCGAGCTCGGTGCCTTCAGACTACCCCTGCAGAACATCAGTCCATTGATGAAATGATGGTACCCTACAAAGGCAAATTTGGGAATATTCGGCAGTATGTAAGGGGTAAGCCGCATCCATGGGGCTTCAAAGTATGGGCTAGATGCTCTGTGCATGGAATCCTTCATGACTTTGATGTTTATCAGGGAAAAGGTGGAGATAAAGGAGCGAATGTGTTTGGCATTGGAGGAGATGTTGTTGTAAAACTGTGTAAAACTCTTCCTAAAGATGTAGGGCACAAGATATATGCTGATAATTTCTTCACCTCAGTTGAACTGATAGAGAAATTGTCAGAAGACGGATTCCTTTACGCTGGGACAGTGAGAAAGAACCGTCTCGCAAAGTGCAATGTCTTGGAGGAAAATGCCCTGAAGAAGAAAGGACGAGGATCACATGATTTTAGAGTAGAATCAAAGACCAATACCGTGTGTGTTAGATGGCAGGATTCCAAAGCAGTAACCCTCATGTCAAACTATGCTGGTCCTGAGCCTATGGACAAAGCCCGTCGCTGGGACAAGAGCAAGAAAGACTACACCAACGTTGACCGCCCATACATCATCAGAGAATACAATACTCACATGGGTGGTGTGGATATGCTGGATGCACACATCTCCCGATGTAAGTATTCCATTCGAACGCGGAGATGGTACCTTATACTCTTCTGGCATTTTACCAGTATTGGCGTAATCAATGCATGGCTGCTGTACAAACGTGACTGTTCCCTACTGGGAATCACAGGCAAGAGTGTGATGAAGCTGCGCCAATTCCAGTCCAAGGTTGCACAAGCACTGATTGAGCGTGGAACCACCAGAAAGTCGGGTAGACCATCCCTTGGTGAGGAAACATCGCCCAAACCACCTAAGATAATCCGTGTCGAGCCATGTGAAGATGCACGTTTCGACCAAATTGCACACTGGCCAGTAAAAAGAGACAAGCGTCGTCGCTGTGCAGTTTGCAAAACTATCAAAACTGATACGTGTTGTGAGAAATGTGATGTTCCTCTGTGTTTCAACGAGCGCAGAAATTGCTACAAACTGTATCATATAAAGTAGTAGTATAGTAACTCTGTATGTACTGTATGACAAGCTACTGAAGTTAGTATGTTTTACTAGTGCCTCCTTTCAATGCCTTAGACATTGGCATCATAACAGAAAAATATTCTTGTTCAAACTCTGACATTTACATAATCCCCGAGCCGGCGGCGCGAAGCGCCGTGCGAGGGTACTAATTCCGCCCGGCTATTTACACCCGGGTGTTTGAAAACATAGCGAAGTGCAAAGTTGTCCTCCATTATGTGATGGACGGTCTTCGATGTTATTGCGCATGCACGTGTAATAGCTCGTACTAAAATTCTAAAAATATTGTTTTTCATTTTGCAAAGATGTATTTTGATATTCTAGTAGTGACAGTAAATATCAAAGAAAGACCCAGTGGGTCACATATGACCCGAGTCCTAAATTGGGGGCAAATTGACGAAAATCCCCAAAACATATTTTTATAGTTTATCTAGCCTGTTTTGTTAGTTTTTAGACTGAAAATAATTTTTTTCTAATGATAAAAGATGTCTTGGGTTCTCCAGGGTTAAAATTAGAATTGTATACATGCAAAAATATGTAGGCGCGGTCGTAGACGTTTGTGGTAGTGGTCAATATACGAATTTTTGATGCGATTCCACAGTTCGGTGACTTTCGTAATAAATTGTTAAAACTTCATAACCCCCACCCCACCCTCCACCTAAGTTATACCAGTTGGTTTTAGTGTTTCCCGTTGAAGATCATTTAATTAAGACTGCTTCTGATTGGCCATGTTCGTTTCTATTCTTTCACTACGGCATTATGCAGTGAATCTGACGGGGGGTCAACCTCAAATGTATTGATGCTTATGCTGTACTGGAGTGAGAAAATGCTACGAAATTCCATGTATTTGTCACCAAACACAAGCAACTGTGTTTTGTTTTAGAGTTGACCCCCCGTCACTTTTGTGACGTCATATGAAACCCAAGAATATCCTGCCGCTGGAATGCGTGGAGTTTGTTCGAAAGTGCGGCACTTGATAGCCTGCGCGCAGGCTCAACATACATTCGGGTTGAGGCTGCACGCAGGCTAGGCACTTGATTGACTCCCACACAAGGCAGTACGCCAGTCCTCATTTACCTCCAGGGACCGATTGTATAAAAAAGTAGTTGAAGTAAAGTAACTACAGTTAAAGCTGATTTCCACTGTTGCGTTTTTCATATGTACGTATACGCACGTAAAACTTTAAATCCGTTTAAATGTTACTTATGAAATAACCAGATTAGCCTGCGACTGCTCGCAGGCTATAACCAAATAAATAAAGCAACAGAATTTAGTGTTCCGCAAGTTTTAGTATGCATTTGTTAACTTATTTGTAAAATATTTAAAAAATAGAAGGATTCAAAATTTTACGTGCGTGTACGTGCGTAAGAAAAACGCAACAGTGGAAATCAGCCTTTAATGCGAAAGTCGACAAATCAGAATCTCAAAACGGTCTGTGCCAGTCTTTATAATTATACCATATAATTATTTTCTTAATGAAAGTTTCACATTTTCGAATTAACTACTTATATAACAATTTAAAAGTACAAAAATTAATTCACGATTGAGAAAATTTTAAAATTCTTTAAAGCTATAATAATCCTGTTGCTGTCTCAAATATTTCTTCATCTTAAAGGTCAACACAAGTTCAATTGTTATCATAAATATTAGATCTACAGCCAGGTATTTAAAACTGGAGTATCTTTGTAGGAAATTTTCTTACATCTTTTCATCTCATATATTGAAAGCCAACCACATAACTTGATTTTTGTTTAAATATTCCAGACCCCTTTTGCAAAGTCGAAATTTTCATGTGTCGAAAATGAAACTTACAACCATGTATTCGTCTCATTTCTTAAATCGTCTCCAAAGTTCAAAAATACAAGGTATACAAAACTACATTATTTTTGTCATACTGTAAAAAATAATCTATTAAAACAATATTTAAAAAGCAATAAAGTTAGAAAGACAGTCAGCTGGTTACTTAGTAATGGCTGATTTCTAGCTTCATTTTCAACATAATATAAATTTTGTAGTTGTATTTCCAGATCAATGATGAGAGCTCAATCACAGAACATGACTGTTTCCCTGACTTCCAGTCAATACAGGCTGCTTTAAGAGTTTTTCGAAGACTATTAATAGTTTAAATCTTTCTAAATTTTTTATGAGTACTAAAAAAAACACTAAATGCTGTGCTTTTATTCATTTAATAGACAACTTGCAAGTTAGACTAATTTTTGATTTAGGGAAAAAAAGTAAATTCTTGTAAAGAACTTACTAAAATCAGTAAAATTGCAAAATTTGCATGGTTACGAAATGTTGTAAAATGCAGAAAATATAGCCTTGTGAAGTTTGCGTATTTTCAGTATGTTTGTATTACGTGCGGAAATTGTTACCATTTTTGAGCCGAAAATGGTAACAATTTTCGCACGTAATACAAATATACTGAAAATAATTTATTTTCTGTATTTTACAACATTTCGCAACCAAATTTTGCAGTTTTACTAATTTCATTATGTTCTTTTTAACTGTCGTGTGTGATTCCTTTCTCTTTACTTAATTAGATTAAAATTTAGTCTAACATGCAAGTTGTCCATTATTTCATAGGAAATTTTTAAATGGATTGCACACACGTATGAAAAACGTTAAACTGCATGGAAAGCAACCTTAAGTGTCGAGTATTTTCTTATTGTGATAACTGCTGGGTGACTATCAAGTGGTATACATGATAGAACTTAGACTACGTTTACACTAGAGCAAAAGTTTCCGGATTTGTAAAAGTATCCGGATACCTTGTTTTTCAAGTGTACGGATCCGTCGGGACAGGCCGACACAGCGATGGTCAATATAAAGTAAACAATTTTAACCATCTTAGTGATATTATGCGACGTTTTGACCCTGTTTAGCGGTTTAATTTAATAGCAATAAATTTGAAAAACATACCACCGGAACAAATTGATTCAGATTCTTTAGGGAAAGTCGTTTACACGAGAGTTTTCTTCGGATTCAAATGTTTCCGGATACGAAGTTCCCACAAACTTTTCCGGATTCAAGTTTCCGGACACGGCACGAAAGCGAGAATATTTACTATCGGATTCGTCGCTGCGTGTGTAAACGGCAACATGAATCCGAATTTTTTTCTGTGTTGGTGTTGTGTACTCAGGTGAATAATATGTTTGCGATGTTACTCTGAGTGCATATCCACACCGGGCGAGCTTGAAAAATATGCCCGGCCACGGTGGGATTCGAACCTACGACCTTTGGAATACTAGCCCAATGCTCTTCCAACTGAGCTACGTGGTCAGGACGGTTCGAGTAAGTGATATTTCGGAACAGTATCTAGTTCCTTCAATACCAATCGCAAACACCCACCGTGGCCGGGCATATTTTTCAAGCTCGCCCGGTGTGGATATGCACTCAGAGTAACATCGCAAACATAACATGAATCCGGTTCTAAAACGTTTCAGTTTCGTGATGAATCCAAAACCTTTCGCTCTAGTGTAAACGGGTCTTACAGCAAGTTCTACCGCTCAGATATGGCTTAGATATACCATAGTGTTGAAGTGCAATGGTTCATTCACTGTACAATCTGTGCCTTTCATCTTCCTCATCATCTGATCCATAGCTTGATGCAGTTGGGGAAGGAGGTTGGGAACTAGGTCGTGGAAATCTGAAATACTACAGTAAAGAAACACAAAATGTCATTAACAAATAATTCTTGTTTAATGATTCCTGGCATGACTATTGACCCTAACTAATCCTTACCTTTCCTTGACAAAACATCAAGACATGAAACTCATTATCCCTCATTAAAATAATAATAATTAAACCTTATTATTACTCATTATTACCCTCATTATCCCTCATTATCTCTCCTGAAACTTATCCCTCCTTTGTTCTTCTGCCTTCGTTCACTACGAATTTCACGACGAATTGAAGGAAGGCAGAAGAACGAAGACGATGATCAACTTTATTTTATTTACAATTTTACTTACGGGGTATGGATTCATGTCTCGCTGTTTTGTCTGGTTCAGAGTAAGGATTATGGTCAGTATTCAGTGGGACATAAATCTATAACCTGTCTAGCCTCCTCCGCAGGCATCTCGTGGTTCACTTACTTTACAAAGTCAGTGATTTTTTGCCTGCAAGCAAATTCTACCCGTCAATCTAACGGCCATGCATGCCTGTGGAGAAGGCTATAACCAGCCTTCATTGAAAAAACTTACAATCACCGCTGAGCCTAAACTCAATATGGGCAAGATAATGCGCAGACGGCCAAAAATTGTCAAGTCCGTCTTTTGTTCTCTTCAGTCAAAGTCTCTAATATTAAAAGCAGGAAGCGCAATAACCATCGCACTAATCCTCCCTGAAAACGTAAGAAAAGTGTGCGAGACAAACCTGATGTCGAACTTCGTCTTCTTCCTCAATTTCGTCAGGGAATTTTTCAGGACAGATTATAGATAACGCCTTCCGCCTTGCTTTCACGTAATTCTAAACATACACCAAAACAAAACTATATATGGGTGTTGTAGTGTCACAATACAGAGTGTAATAATCTTTTTATTATACTTGGCTCGCGTCAGCAATTGATACACCAGGCAAAAAGCGAAGTCTAGGCAAAAATACTATAGCCCAGCAAATATTGAATTATGAGACATATTTGCAGTCAATATGTGCCTTCTGATTGGTCAATAGCTTACGGCTAAATATGGAAATCTGCTAGCAGATATCTGAGTATTATTTAAATACACGAATAAAGTACAAAAAGCAGAACTTTTGACATTTGTGTTGCAACTTTAGTAGGTTAAATTGAATAACTTTTCTAACATTTTTATGCTGTTACTGTGATATTTTAAATCGTTTTCACCACTTTTTTTGAGAATCAAACGTTGTTTTGCGCGAAAAATCATTGTTTGTCAAAAGAGTTTATTGATGAGATAAATACAAAAAAAAGTTATTCGGTAATAAATTTGAAGATATACCTTTCCGAGGCTTTTCCAGTCCAGCAGCTCACTCAGTCGTTCAGTTCTATTTCTTTGAATGATTCGTTGCCGACGACTTAGCAAACAAAATGACTTCATGTGCTACATATTTAAAAATGAGAGATTTATACACAATTCAGATACACTGTAAATTAAACTACAATGAAGACTGAGATACAGGGTCTTAGCTAGCATTTTCGATCTTGGGCGTGTTTCTTATAAATGACCAGGGTGTGCACATCACGGTTCTAGTTATGCTCGTCAACAACAGGCAATAACTGTGGTTGTTCTATGCTTTGTAACCAAATACAAGGAGAGTATAAGCTCATATTACGCACTGACATTAAAATATTAAGTTTTTTCAGCAACTCTTGGGGGTATTTAAAACCATTTTAACACCATACAGTTCCCATTATCCACCAAAACATTAAAACATCACATGCAGATCACTTTCGTCAATTTCAACAATAACCATAGATTTTACAAACTTTCTTACAAAGTACAGTGAATAGGAAGAAATTCTGTCTGTTATTTTATGAACCTACACGGCCTTATATAAATAATGAAACCGCGTTCATTTTATCTAGCCGTGTTTTTCCCTTTTTGGCCGCGATAACACGGCCAACACGGCCCTCTAGCTAAGACCCTGCTGAGCTAGATAAGTGCTTGAGAGACTTGATTCTTGAATTGCTTTTTTATGTATGCTTTTCACCAGAGATTGTCAGCACATGTCCAAATGACCTATCAAATGCAAATACAGTACTATGATACCTCAGTTAACTGTGTAATAGAGCCTTCAGCGTCTTTAAATCTTCTATCTACGAGATATATACCATACGAGCAAGGGTCTGCAATGTGCTCGGCCATAAAACGTCCAAATCCTGATAAGTTGGTTGATACAGATGGTATTCCCATTACCGTACACTCGGCTAGAAAAAGGAAGAGTCGTTTTAATAACAGAGAGCTTCAGGTTTGACTTCCACTATGACTGCCACTTACAGGTTTAAAAAGCATTTGATTGGTTAATCGGGTAGAATAAATGCATCCGATTGGTTAATGGTAGCGGTATAGAAAATCAAAATATGAACCTCTCTAATATTATGGTAACATCCGTTATTTGTGATGTTACTCCGAGTGTATATCCACACCGGGCAGGCTTGAAAAATATGCCTGGCCACGGTGGGAATCGAACCTACGACCTTCGGAATACTAGCCCAATGCTCTGCCAACTGAGCTACGCGGTCAGGTCGGTTTGAGTATGCGATATTTCGGAACTGAGTCTAGTTCCTTCGATATCAATGTAATCTAATATAATCATGATATATGCTGTGTTGGTGTAATGTACTCAGGCGAGTAAGATGCTTGTGATGTTACTCTGAGTGTATATCCACACCGGGCAGGCTTGAAAATATACCTGGCCACGGTGGGAGTCGAACGTAGGGACCTTCGGAATACTAGGCCAATGCTCTGCCGACTGAGCTACGCGGTCAGGTCGGTTCGAGTATGTGATATTTCGGAACTGAGTCTAGTTCCTTCGATATCAATGTAATCTAATATAATCATGATATTTGCTGTGTTGGTGTAATGTACTCAGGTGAGTAAGATGCTTGTGATATAGTGTATATCCACACCGGGCAGGCTTGAAAAATATGCCTGGCCACGGTGGGAATCGAACCTACGACCTTTGGAATACTAGCCCAATGCTCTGCCATCTGGGCTAGTATTCCAAGGGTCGTAGGTTCGAATCCCACCGTGGCCAGGCATATTTTTCAAGCCTGCCCGGTGTGGATATACACTCAGAGTAACATCACAAGCATCTTATTCACCTGAGTACATTACACCAACACAGAAAATATCCGTTATGTTTTGTCTTCGACTACGTCGGTAGCAATCAGATTACAATTAATCGTATCTTATGCATTATATCCCTCGCCCATGGAAAATCGTTGGTCAAGCCACTTACACTCCTGGGGCCGGTTGTTGAAAGGTGGGTTAGCGCTAACCCTGGGTTAAAATTTAACCTGCTGTTTTAGTTTGTATATTTCTGCACGTCTGTTTATTTCAAAACTTCAGAGAAGTAAACTCCTATAAATCCAGGCAAGGTCTCTGATGAAATATTCCCAAAAATTTATAGACAAACAGTCAGGATGTTTGCTTTGAATTTTACGCTAACATAAGGTTAAGCCCCTCTAGTTTACATCAGATGAATGTGGGTTTGACCACACCCGGAACGGTTCAACCTGTTTATCCACTGTCGATGAACTTGAAAAATCTTATCTTTTCTTTTAGCGAGGACGACACACTTACCAGGTGTATATCCCCAGGGTTCATAATATGAAGGAAATACTCCTAAATGACAACCACGGACAAATTCTTCATACTCCATACCAATCAAAGGATTTGTTGAAGATAAAAATTCTGGATGGAAGACAATCTACAAAAATAAACGAAGTTTACAACAACCTTATCAGAAAATAGAGAAGATATACGGAAACGGTTCCATAGCAATATTTTTGTTCAATAATCGAATAGATCTACTACAGTAAACATATTTTCAGGAAGACTGTATTTTGCCCTAAGGTTTTTCCACACTGCGCTTCCACACTGCGCAACGTGTCCAAAATGTACATGGCGTAACTAACATCGTGCCCAAAATGTACATGGCGTAACTAACATCGTGCCCAAAATGTACATGGCGTAATCAACATCGTGCCCAAAATGTACATGACGTAACTAACATCGTGCCCAAAATGTACATGACGTAACTAACATCGTGCCCAAAATGTACAGAGGTGAAACTAACATCGTGCCTAAAATGTACATGACGTAACTAACATCGTGCCTAAAATGTACATGACGTAACTAACATCGTGCCCAAAATGTACATGACGTAACTAACATCGTGCCCAAAATGTACAGGCGTAACTAACATCGTGCCCAAAATGTACATGGCGTAACTAACATCGTGTCCAAAATGTACATGATGCGTAACTAACATCATGCCCAAAATATACATGACGTAACTAACATCGTGCCCAAAATGTACATGGCGTAACTAACATCATGCCCAAAATATACATGACGTAACTAACATCGTGCCCAAAATGTACATGGCGTAACTAACATCGTGCCCAAAATGTACATGGCGTAACTAACATCATGCCCAAAATTTTATGCCAAAACAAACGCACCTTCACTCTGTCATAGTCTCCATTGAACAAGCGACAACGACGAATATGATTTAATATTTGGTCAGCTGAATCATTCACAACATTATGCGTGACCACCGGAGGAAGATCAGCTCTCTACAAAACAAATCTTTAATATAGATAAACTAAATCGTGAAAATCTCGCATAGCGGACGAGTTTAATGAAAGTTGTAGACTTACAACAACCAGGTTCCCCAGTACACAATTGAGAAGAAAGAATCAAATAAAACATCAGCTTTGCATCGCGCTCCATGAGCTCTATGCATTTATATAAAGAATTTCATAGGACGAGGGGGCAACCGTCTCTCTCTCACCCAATAATTTCTGAAAATCAGCCCCCATTAATGTCTGAAAGCTGAATAATTTGTCAACAAAGCTGCAACAATAATTGAACAATCATGAAAGCTTTGGTAGGCTATACAAGCAAATTTGTATTAAATTTAAATAGGTTAAAGTTCCAAAAACCGATACATTTTCAGATGTTGGTAACCGAAATCCCCCTCCCCCAAAAATATTTCGCGAAGTGTATACGCGATGCATTGTGCCTAACAATCTACATATCAAGCAACGGCGGTACGCGTTCAGGCCCCAGTGCGACATTTTGCCGAGGTCGACAAACAAATTACTGAATTTATGTATTGTGGCATTTCGTTTGGGGCCCCCAACTCAAATGGGCCCCCAAACCGACGACGACGCTTAATATTTCTTGATACCAGAGTGCTTAACCGAGAATATATTAAATCATAGCTGCGCCAGTGCTGGATTATATGCAATGAAGGGTAACATATTGTAACACATCGTTTCGGTTGTTTCACAAATTTACAGCAACATTATAGCTTGTACAAAAAGGGCACTTTTCATCACAAAAAAGGGCACTTTGAAAAGGACAATTTCTACGTATCTGGACGCAGTAGGGGCCTAAATAACCTGTGCAAGTTTTTTTTCGGGTTTTTGTCCCGCATAACGTCTCGGCCGCCCTGCCTGTCCGGATTTAGTCTTACCTGCCCCAAGTATATACATCGTTTTAACTTGATAACATCACCAGGTGAAAGCAATGAATCCGTTACAGGAAGTTTGCCTCTAAATAGGAAAAAGGTCTAACTTGGTATTCGATACATTGTACCGAAAATAGTAGAAATTGAAACGTTAAATTGACTAGATATAAACATTTCAGTGTAGTTAGTACATATTTTATTGATATAGGCTACATGCAAGCTTGAGTACTCGTCAACAGCTTACTCGGACTTTGGAGTAAAGCCTTTGCAGAAGAGTAAGGAATTTCATGTAATAATTTCAGAGTAAGGAGATCGACTTGGAGCAACTCTACATACACTTCGTAAAATTTAAATTAAGTATTTCTAACATTACGAAGTTACGAAATAAAATATAAAATTGTTCATAAAAAAATACCCAAGAGCAGACTCAAATATTTTCTTGCCGATTTTATCTTGCAATTCATCCACTACATCCCTAAAAATGTACAAAATGTATAATATCTGTGACGCTGAAAAATATCTGGTCTGGCAATTAAACAGTAGTCATCGTATGTTTTTATCCAAGGCAGGATTTTGGTGGATATAGTGGGGTAGGTGAAGCAGTCTAGCTCATTACAATTACTACAAAGTTTCTTTCAAAATATTGCAGTAAAATGGTGCTTGATACAGAGATGAATAGCTATGTCACTGTCTCAATTTTACAGAAAAACTTTCTTAGGTGCAGGCCCGGAGCAGGAAGAATGTCAAATTTTCACTTTTATTTGTCATTGAAACTTTCTAAAGGGGAGGTGCATGACTTTTCAGGGGAGGTGCAAAAATTCTCGGGGGAGGTTCAAAACGACCTCAGGGAAGGTGTAACAGTTTAATAGGGATAGATGAGATGAAACATGTAACCACGACGAATAACATTAAATGAAGTTGAGACAAAGGATTTGTGCATGGTGAGGTACAGCTTGTAACAAGTCTGCAAACAAGTTGTTACAAGTCTGTTCACAAGCTGTCAACAAGTTGTGTTCGCACTGCTTGTTCCCAGTTTGTTGTAACAAGTTTGAAACAAGCTATTAACAACTACTTGTAACAAGCTTGATGGCATTATCAGCCTTGTTACAAGACTGTGCCAACAAGTTTGTTAATAATAATAATAATAATAATAATAATAATAATAATAATAATAATGATTTATTATCAGTATTTCCATACAATGGCTCTTCACCTGATAAAACTACTACTACAATATCTAAGGAAATAGTAAGAAAGTTGCAAACCTAGACCTAAGCATTACAATTAAATAGTGAGACAGCGTTGCTTTAAAATATTAAAAGTTTGTCTGGAGAAGTCTCTATGATCTGTGCATGATTTTACATCAGCTGGTAGAGAATTAAATAATGAAGCTGAACAATCTTGAAAGGTATTAGAAACTAAAGATATAACTAAATTGACTTGAGCATTAGACCGTAAAACACGTGTGTGTTCAGACCTTTCAAGGCCAACATAGAGAGGCCAATCGCTACTATATAACGCCTTATGTGCGGCTTTAAGAATATGCCATGCATTACAGCCATGATATAACAAGGATGTTACAAGGTTGTCAACACAAGGTTGTAACAATCTTGTTATATCAAGAATGTAACGGACTTGTCAGAACAACCTTGCAACAAGTCTGATAATTTCGACAAGGTTGTTACAATCGAACATTATTCAGCAGGTCGTATTCCTTCCAATTTCGATTCCCATGCACCCCGCGATCGGGCATACTCTAAAACGGATTAATTACGGGCTGCGGAGGAAGAAGTATGTATAGCTCATGGACAAAAATATTTTCACACCTTTTATTTCACTTTCTTTTACTGCATGTATGAAATATATCCTTTACCCAGTTTACTGAATGAAATATATCCTTTACTGTACGAAATATTTCGTCATATTTTTAGCTTTACTGAATATTTCGTCATATTTTTGCCACTCAATAATTAGTCTCGTCAATCTTAAAAGATATCTCGATCTAAAAAAAACCTAATGGTGGTTTGATAACTTGCACTACAATACCTTAACTGTTTCGTCACAGCTTGCCCTTTTAATGATTCAACGTTGAAATTGTTGGTTTGAGTTGGAAATATCAGGAACGCAACCACCGTCGTTGTACTGCCTGTTGACTGTAATGAAGAAAACGTTCAATAGTTTCAGAGAATGGCGCGGTCTATGAATCAAAGAACGTCGCTGACCGAAGATAATCTAGTTATAGAAACAACTCTTAAAACAATGACGCATGTTATTTTCCGGTTCACAATGACATATTCAAACTAAAAAAGCCCTAACCATGCAATATACAATTATTCCCGTACTAATCATGCCATCCTTCTCGACACACAAAACTAACATAAGCATAAAATGTCAAACAAACGCCGAGAGCGCTTACGTTTTGCAGCTTAATTAAGGGAGTGACGTTTACTAGATGAGTGTATTAGCGAGGGCCGTTTATTCTTAGATGGAAATTAAAAATAAAGCAGAAACTATGAATACGTCGTCTTTAAAAAATTAATTACACTATACAGTACGTACCTTCAAATAGTAATTCAATCTAGCTAAAGACTCTATGAAAAGATCTACTCCTTTATTGAAATATTCATATCTAAAAATCAAGAACAAAGCAAAGACATGTACGTATAATTGGCCTAATGGGCCGCGGTGATGCCGAGAGGGGAGGGACACATTTTTCTCCAGTTAAAAAAGGCCTCTATCAAGTGACAAAAGCGCTTAAGATTTCTTGATACAAGATTGCTTAGCCAAGGATAAAATCCTAGCTGCGTCAGAGCCGGATAATGTGCAAATTCAAAGTGTCCAATCAAAAAGCTACGTTTGTGCCACATGAGCATGAAATTTATCATCGAGTCATGCCTATTCATATTTGAGTCATGCCGAGTCATATTTGACGTATCGGATGATTTCAATCATATCACCCGGGTGATAAGATTCGCGTAATCCACGCGCGGCGACCACGCAAACAAGTTCAAAGAAAGCTCTTTTTTAAATTTTGAAGCAAATCTTGAAAAATGGCCCCGCGCAACCTCTCGGCGGCCTTGAGTAGCAAAGATAAAATATATAAATGAAACACTACCTGCCAGCAGAAAAAAGATACAGCGTAGAATCCAGATCAAAATTGTGTCTAAAATATCGAAACGTTTGATATAATTTAAGATACTACAGTACGATTACGATCATGGCCATTCATGGCTATATCATGGAGATTAAGATTCCAAATGCGGCAATGTGATGACGTGATATATTCAGGAAAGAAAACAAAATATTTACCTTTTGCTCAATAACTTTAACAGGGTTGCCACTCTTACGTTAATTTTTAGAGAACAGATTGTTCAAAGGGTTTTGTAGAAATTTTGAGGGAAAACTATGACCTTTCCCCTTATAACTAAAATTTTGATCTAGACAAATCTAGACAAAAATTTCATCACAGCTTGAAAGAGCATCACAAAATTAGTAATATTCTGAATTTTCGTTGCGAAATGTTGTAAAATGCGGATAATATTAAATATAGCCCTGCGAAATTTGCAATTTTAAGTCATTTTGTATTACAAACGGGAAATTGATGCCCCAACACCCGATTGGGCTGTCAATTTCCCATAATACAAAATACAAAATGATACCCGTAATACAAAATGACTGAAAAACGGCAAATTTCGCAAGGCTATAGTATCCGCATTTTTCAACATTTCGCAACGAAACTTTGGAATATTACTAATTTTGTGATGCTCTTTCAAGCTGTGATAAAATTTTCGTCTAGATCAAAATTTTAGTTATAAGGGGAAAGGTCCATTAAGCCGGATTTAACAGCGATCGACTTGTAACAATGCATCCAGTTCTGGGCTAAAACTGAGCACTTAACACATGAACACGTCATGAGCCTCTCTTAGCAATTGCAGTTCAGTAGAAAGAAACTTACCCATAAAAATGACCTCGCACAAATTTGTGTATTTTATCCTTCGCGATAGCATGAAGATTTTGAAATTCATGTAATGCACTGTAAAAAGAAACAATAAAACTATTAACCACTACGGTTTCGATCAAAGCAATGTGAGAACCATTTTAGGCTACCTCCAGCGACGAAAAAAACAGACGGGGGTGCGGAGGAGGGTGACATCCCTCCAGTCTTAGTAAACATCATATTTTAGGGCATACCAATCCATTTTCGATGGGCAAATGCTGGAAATAACCAGACGTTTTAACCATTCTTCCAGCAGTCACGTCTTTCCTGTTGGACAAAAGAAACTAATACTCCTCCAGTTGTAATCCCGAAGTTTCGCTCCTGGCTACCTCTTCCAGCAGGGCGGGCCTTTGTTTTCGGATTCGTAAAAGTATCCGGATTCCTTGTTTTTCAAGTATATTGTTTATTGTAACCCTGTTAGTGTTATTGTACGGTGTTTTGACCTTGTTTGGAGGTTAAATTTAATAGCAATAAATTTGAAAAACACGCGCGGGAACAAATTAATTCGGATTCTTTACGGAAAGCCGTTTACACGAGTTTTTTCAGGATTCATATTTTTTCGGATACGAAGTTCCCACAAATTTTTCCGGATTCGAAAGTTCCGCATTTAGATTATATCTGTGATTATTTTGTATCGGATTCATTCGTGTAAAAGGCAAAACGAATCCCCAGATTCGTAACGAATCCGAAAACATTTCCTCTAGCATAAACGTTATAGTCTTAAATATACAGTAGAACGTAATTCAAAATGTCGACTCTTTAAACCAAAAGGAAAGAAGTACTCACGTGTATTTCACAACATTTAAACCATTCGGTAGTATGCATTCTGGAAAGGAGATTGTAAAACTTGTTAACGATGCCAAAGAAATTTTGTAACCAGTGACGGGTACGTCGCGAAATATTGGCGAGCAAGAGTGGGGGTCCAACTTTGTTCGCTGTCATTTGGGGGGGGGCTTCGGTGGGGCAATCGTCTGCGGAGCAAGTGCCCTTCACCTCTGAGATTGTGGGTCGTCCTCACATCGGATTAATGGCACTGAGGCCAAATAAAAATAATAGTTGGTTTCAGGTTTCCGACCGACCTGTCAAAATATCCCGACCATAAACATTTTATAGACATTTCCCAGCAGAGAAAAATAAGCAGAATATAATATACTCATTTGTCTACAAATTATTTTGTTTGCTTATAATTAAAACATTATCTAGTCATGTTAATCATACTTTTACACAAAGAACAGTTGAATAAAATATTAAAAACGTACATTATTCTGGAAAAAGTTTCTCGCGAAACACATGTAGCTCGCGGGTGATCCCGTGTGGCAGGCTTAAACTTGATGAAGAAGTCCAGCATCGATGATTGAGATAAAATATTTTTTTCAAATAAAATGTTTTTCCGACATACCTACCCATATAAAACATGGCTGTGAAACATGAAACCAAGTATTAGTTTTATTTGGCCTGATGTGAAAAGAGTTGTTGACAGTGTGGGTTGGGATTAGACCCTTAACTGACCCTTCCACCGTAGCTGTGCTCCATTATGAGAAATGAGTCATAAGGTGGCTGTCAGAGGCGTCCTTAGTAAGCTTTCGACTCGATCAGGTTGAGCTGCGTCCTTCGCAATAGACCTTTCCCCTTATAACCAAAATTTTGATCTAGGCAAGTCTAGACAAATATTTCATCACAGCTTGAAAAAGCATCACACAGGTTTCGTTGCGAAATGTTGTAAAATGAGGAAAATAGAGCCTTGCGAAGTTTGCAATTTTCAGTCATTTTGCATTACAAACGGGAAATTGCAGCCCCAACACCCGAATCGGACGTCAATTTCCCGTTTGTAATACAAAATGACCGAAAAACGGCAAACTTCGCCGATCTCTATATTATCCGCATTTTACAAGATTTTGCAACGAAACTTTGGAATATTACTAATTTTGTGATGCTCTTTCAAGCTGTGATGAATTTTTTGTCTAGATCGAGATTTTAGTTATAAGGGGAAAGGTCCATTCAGCTTAGCTCTCAGCTGCAAGTAAGGATAATTAGCACACCCCCTTACATATTTTACCACACAAATGATCCTCTATTTCAGTTCATTAAAATTTTCTGCCTTATAGCCTACCTGGTCTACGCTTCACCATATGTTCAGCTTCATCAGCAGTTATTAATGAGACAGTTGTAAACACGTGAGCAGCATGCACTGCAGATCTTTCAAGACAGTAACGATGATAAATTCCTCGGTCACCAGCTTCCTAAAGACACGGGCAAACGGGGATAAGAGGTGATGAGAGATAGCATGCGAGAGTTTGCACGAGTTTCTAAACTCTCATGGCTCAGTCAAATGAGAACAAGAGTTGACAAGAGTTAGCATGCGAGAGTTCGCACGAGTTTCTAAACTCTCATGCCTCGGTCAAATGAGAACAAGAGTTGATAAGAGTTCACTGGATTTTACCGGTGCAAACGAGCAACAACTCTCATCTACTTGAACCAGTTTAAAGTTGATGAGAATACACCCTTTCAATAATTACGTCACAACTACAGTCTGTGTTTTCACCTTAGGACCACCTTCAATGGAGAGGATTTCAACTTTTTTCTCACGGGCTATACACAGAGAAGCAGAACATCCTTCTTCAACACATGCGCGAAAAAAATTTTGGATTTTGATCAATAAATATGGAAATAAGCATTAACACGAAAACGAAGCCTCGTTTTCAGGTAAAAGCTTATTTCCACATTTATTGGATGTTCTGCTTCTCTCTACATAGCTCATAAGAAAAAACCTTGAAATTCTTTCCATTTAAGGTGGTCCTAAGTTGAAAACAGTGTAGTTGTGACGTAATTATCGAAAGGGTGTATTGATGAGAGTTGATGAGAGTGAATGAGAGTTAGCGGTCAAACGCGAGCGAGTGTTAGAACTCTCATCAACTCTTATCCTCGTTTCACCATCGTGGTTGGTGAGTGCGTACGATTTGAGAAAGATTGCTTTAAACACAACCGGAAATTAAACATGTCGCTGAACATTGCATCGCAGGTACAATCAAGAATTTTTTTATGTTTTGCTTTACTTTGACTTATTTGTAACAAATAAGGCAGAAAATGTAAATGTACTTAATTATGTTTGAGTCACCTAATATTGTTTTTGGAACTGTATAAATTATTCGATTCATTAATATTCACTGCACATCAGTATGGACAATCTAGGCATGTTCAATTAAGATGAGGCAGCTTTCTATAGGTTTACAAGAAGGTGATCGCAAATTTAAAAGTTTCTGATTTTTTTAATCAAGTTATTTTCTTGCTCAAAGCAAATTTCCAGATAACTCTTACCTTATCTATATTGAACTTCGGTGATTAAGACATCATTGGAAGAATAGATAAAAGAAAAAATCTGATGTTAGAAATGTTAAACAAAAAACAATGTGCACTATAAACAAAACTATAACTTTCTTAAAAAACTGGATAACTCTGTTCGTTCTGAACTGTTCTCTCTAAACAGGTTGAGAAAGAGTTTATAACGAGAGAAAACAACGGAGAAAACCGTGCAATAAAAGTAGCAAAATAAACTTGCTTCACTGGCGAAGGATTTTCAAGCAAAAGTGATTATTTAAATTTATATTGTTGAAGGCCGGTGAACCGGAAAAAAACAGGCGAGCACTACTCGCAGAAAATGTTAAACAGCTGCAGGAAATTCGTATTGACAGACATTATTCCTTGAATTTAAAACCATGGTCAGCTAGAGCACTATAATGTTTATGCACATGCAGATTTAGCACAAAAATACTCCGTTGGTCTGCAGGAATTTTCTGTCTCCAGCTTGTTCTCCCAGGAAGAAAATTATTTTTTCCTGCCCTGGCCGGTTGTTGAAAGCACGATATCGATGAACGTAAACCCAGGGTTAAAAATTTAATCCGCTGGCTTCGGTGCGTATGTATATGCTCGTCCGTTTATGTCATCAAGAGAAAAAAATACCTATTGATCCAAACAAGATTTCTCAAAATTATCTCCAAGCTTATAAACAAGTTGTCAGAATGTTTTCTTTACGTTTTACGTTATAAGATAATCTGGATTCGAATAACGGGGCCCTGCTTGATAATGGAAGGAAAATTGCAAGTTATTCACTAACGGCTACATTCAGTAACTATAGAATAAACTTATTCCGAATAAAAACAGTTTTTGTAAATTGTGTGTTATTATTATGCACCCCTCATTCGGAATAACTTTTATTCTATATTTGCTGAAATTATCAGCCGGAAAAGGATTGAGTAACTATTTGTGCAACAATTTTGCACGATACAATTTAAAACAGGTTCAGATACTCACATTAGCAAGATTATTATAAAAATCAGCATTGGCTGCACAAAGATGTCTCCCTAGTAACGTAGCATGAGTTGTAAATATCGTAGTCACATCAATATGCCTTGTTCTTAACGCCATTAAACCAACACCTGACAACCACTCGTGGAAATGAGCAATGACTGGTAATGGTTCTCGTTTTTTAAACTGAAAACAAAATATTTTAATTCAGCATTCAATGCAGGGATGGAATTCAAATACTCGGTAGTCAAGGAATACTTTGCAGTAGTGAAGTAAGTTGATGGAGGGGGAAGGGGCGCATCCCCCCTAGCCCTGGCCAGGGGGGGTGCAAGGGGGGGTGCAATTTTTCATGATAAAGCAAAAAATTATCAGAGACCAAATGAGATTCAGTAATTTGAGTAATAACATGATTATAAGCGAACTGTGAACAACAATTACAATCCAAATACTCGGTAGTCAAGCAAGACTTTGCAGTAGTGAAGTAAGTTGATGGACGTGTAAAGTCACTGGAAAGCAATTGCAACGTACTCGTCCGGAAAATTTTTTTCCCTAAAAAGTTGTCGACGGGGGGAGGGGGGGTTGTTGCTCTCCGAAAATTTTTTTTTTGCAGAACACCCCCCTACCAGATCATGCTGGATCCATCCCTGATTCAATGTCCATCTTTCTTGGTACTATACTATACCAGAACAATATTCATACTAGACCAATATTCACGTATACAGCCAATTCAAAAAAAGTTGTCCTTTGGAAACCTTAAACTCTAAACCTTAAACTCTAAGCGCGCAAAGCTTAATGGGAGCAAAAGTTTCAAGCTTACTAGTTGAACATCGCAGCTATATGTGAATGAATTGTTCTCGTAAGGAGATATTTAACCATGCCTCTAAGAAACGGACCCCATTTAAATGATGTTCCCATCAATGCTTTGCACGCTTAGAGTTAAAGTTTAAGGTTTAGAGTTGAAGGTATGCAAAGGACAACCTTTTTTGAACAAGACGCTCTGTTGAGCGTTTAGTCGCTGGGGCTATTAAAATAAGGTCTGCGCAGGGCTTCTGTGCTTATTGCTCTCTCTTCTGAGAGCAGTGTATAAGCGCAGAAGCCCTGGGTACGAGGTTGATATAATTTATTGGATTCATCTGGCTTAGGCCAACTTCGAGGACACTGGAAACCAGGCTTAATTAAACAAATTTATTGCAACTCCACATTTTGACCCTTCAACTGGTTTTCTCAAAAAAATTAATGCCCCCTTCTAGTAAATTATTTATACTCATGGGGTCATGGCCCCACCTTTTACCTCCCCATCCCTCTTCCATAAATAAGGACTGGTCCCTAACTGCAGGAAAAATATGTGCACTTCACAGAACATTTATAACAATTCATAATTTATTACTTTTGCCTCAAGCTGGGTAACCACAACAGAAGTTGCCAAATAGGCCCTTTGAAGGTAGCTTGCGTGTCAGGCTTGATGCTTGAAATAGAGCCTGTTATACCCTGTGAGCAAAGTCCTCTCGTATTTCTTCTCAGCACGGCACGGAGAAGCGAGGGAGATTCTGCAGAACTTGTGTATAAATTCATTTGAGCATGCGCGAACTTTTATAAGTAGTTTCCGGTTCAGATCAAAACCGGTTATAAAACTGGTATCAAACCTGAAATTACTCATAATTAGCCGTTGCTTGTTCAGATCAAAATCGGTTATAAAACTGGTATCAAACCTGAAATTACTCATAATTATCCACGTTTTTGGATTGTCGGCTCCACAAAGAATATACACAAGTTCTGCAGAGTCTCTCTCGTGCTGAGAAGAAATACAAGAGGACTTTGCTCGCAGGGTAAGCCTGTTACTGAAGTCAATAAATAGTGGACAGTGATTGGGATGCACAAAAATAACAACCAATCAAAATGGCGATTGTTAATTACGTATCAGTCAATTCCAACAGTGCCCATCCCCCCGAGGAATTAGCCATTTCTGGGAAGAAAATGGCTATGTCCACAAGCCATTTGCAATCAAATTAAATATCAGTTTTCCAGCAAATCTACCAAATCCCCATGATGGAAAATGTCAAAATCCTCACCCCATTGCTAAAAATATCGGCAATTGCCCCACCCCCGTGATTAGGAAAAGCTGCAAAGGCCCAGGGGTGAAAACTGCTGGAATTAATTGATACATTAGATTATCAAAGCTAATTTAAAATATGACAATAATGGCCAACTTTTCCACCAATATCTCAAAACTAAATATTCCAATTTCCATCGAATGGCCAGGAATTACATATTAAATAATAATAATAATAACTGTTACTGACTGCAGCAAAGGCAGTCATTAACATGACCAAAAGTAGTTAAAGTACAATTACAAGTGCGGAATATCATTACGTAAACAACAATTTGGCATTACCTTTAAAACAAAGCTATTTATTTCTGACCAATGGGAATTTTGCATACGAATCATGTGCATCAATCCTTTTTACTGACCTCAGTAGCAGGCTTTATTTCAAGCATAGAGCCTGATATGCTAGTTACTTTTAATAACCCACTGAGTAGAATTGCCCCCCCCCCCCCTACTTAATTTCAATACATTGTTTTCACCATTGTGTTTATACAACCTTGCAAATTTACTAGTAGGAATTTCCATTGTGTTTGCAGCCCTTACACTTTGTGTTTCATTATGGCATTTTGACCTTGAAAGAGTCTATTACTGTGGCTCCAACATTTTCCCGTTCGGCGTTAGAAACACAATACATTGATCATAAACTGACTGAAATATTACAGATTTAAAAGCCTGACACCTAGCGGCAAAGTTTAAATTTCACACAAGTAGTGATGAATGATGATCACTGTGGTTGTATTTCGGTCTTGTTAGGCTACACCATGTTCTTTTGACCACCTATCCGTAACAGGATTATTTGCATCAACAGCCGTAAAAAAAGCACCCAAATAAACAGCAGTTTGCGAATATTATTGTTGCGATTTACAAAGGTTGCGGCCCGTTGGGACCCCCGTTCCAACTTTGTAAAATTGAAAATTGTGAACTTTTGTCCTCTATTTCAAGCTTGTAGCAACTTTGTAAAATTGAAAATTGTGAACTTTTGTCCTCTATTTCAAGCTTGTAGCCTTCCAAGTTTACTCACATAAAATGACTTTCGCTTTATAAAGTCTGTTTCATCGGAAAACTTTTAAGGTTCATCGGAAAAATAAAACAAATATGTACAAAATCGATGATACCATTCGCTCGTAGTAAGCGGCCATCTTGAATTCAGCGACGAATAGTAATGACGTAATTTTTATTTTTTATTAATGACGTAATTGTCATTTTGTGGCTAACGATCCAAGATCCGACACAAATGCGTGCCGAAACCTAGAGTCGCTGCGGGCTCTGCCCAGCGACTAATTAGCTGTATACTGTACATAAAAAATCTGAACCTTATTTAAGAAATAGAAAACGAGTCGCGACTCGAGAATCGTGTAAAACACTCGGCTACGCCTCGTGTGATTTACACGCTTCTCTCGTATTCTCCCAACATTCCCCGAGTGCATTATCACACCATAAACGCACGAGACGAGTTTTTCTATTTCTTTTATAATATAAGTAGAAGACATTACATGGTAAACAATTTTACTCAAAAATCAAGTTTGAAATTCTCCTCAGTAACATGTAGTCGGTGACGTCACGCGCATGCTTTTACTGTCGCTTGAATTTTCAAGCGAGCGAAGAAGCAAATTAAAATAATACAAAATTTTGAGAAAGTTTTTATGCTAAAGTTGTGGAGAAACTGTTTAAAATACTGGGGAGAAACCTCCCAGTGATACATCATCATACACAGACTGGTTTGGTAATGTTTCAGCATTTTGGCTGCCGGATTTGCCATGAATGACGTTAAATTGTAGGTTTCGTCGTGTTGCTCAGTTTTAATTTTTGAAATTATTGTATTTTTTGTCTTTCGCCGAAAATATATCTAGCAGTTTTTATCAGTAACATTGAAGGTACTTTCTAAATCACTTATACTCAGTTTTCATTGCCTTTTTCTATGTTTTTAGTATTTCTGTATCTTATCCAAGCTTTTTCTCGACTATTTTGCACGCTTTTTTTCTTTTCGAAACAAAAATAAATTCGACAAATGCCAAGCCGGTTAATATTTATACAGTTTTTACACGTCGTATAGAACTATAGATAATATTGCTTAGTTCCTTTGGTCTATTTGTATTTTAAAAGCTCTATAGTTTTGTTTATAATTTTGGCCAAAAAGCCGTGATGAAGAGGGAAAAACCAGAAAGAGCAAGGCAGTGCCCCGGGACACAGTGCAATATTGCGTCACAATGCACGCGCATTAACCAATCAAATTGTCTGTTATATCCCACTTATATTATAATATATAATGTTAAGAATTCGAGCGCTTTCATTGGTCAATATCAATGATCTATTAGAGAACAGACGCACGGAATTACGTCACACAAAACCTTATCCAATAGCATTCCCTCACTTGTACAGATCATCTACGCGTATAGTATTTGTAAAGTTTCGACTTTTTCAAATCCCACCGTGGCCGGGCATATTTTTCAAGCTCGCCCGGTGTGGATATGCACTCAGAGTAACATCGCAAACAAAGTATTTACATGTTTAATTCGGGTTTTTTTCTTTTTATTATATAAAACAAATAGATAAGATTTTGCCGTTGTCTGTTCAATTATAGATACACATGAGTAGGGCATCATAATGTGGGAAGATTGAAAAAGTGGCCCACTCGCCATAACTGAACAGACAACGGCAAATTTTATCTATTTGTTAATTGGATAAACAAGCAGTACAAACAATGACACTAACCTCGGTAATGAACCAACATACAAGATATCCAAATATAACTGAATCATTGGCCTCACTATCAAGATGTGGCACACCAATATTACATTTGTCCCAAAGCTCCTGTTTCCAAATATTCATATTTTTAGCACCGGATGCAATATCCAACAACAATACCTATGATAGTGCGGGAACCATTGAGTATTTTGATTAAGATAATAGTCAACGGTAAATTTTCAATCTCCGTTTGAAGTAATTTTTCTTATCAAAATCTAGACTTTTTTAGTGACACATTTCTTTTTCACGCACAAGAACTCCATCCATTTTATACTGCAGTAATTAACACGATTGAATAGAACTATTTAGCATTTTTGCACAAGTGAATATAATCTTACAAGTTGATTGGTCAAATTTGGCGTATTACAGGTGAATATAACAAAACCGAAATTTTCAACATGGCGGCTAGCCGTTTTGTGGAAGTTACTGATAAAGATATAAGCGAAATTAAAATAAATTCAGTCCCAAAAAAAAACACAAAAGACTTTTATTCGCCTCGGGCTCGGTGATTATCGGGGAATATTCACCTCGACTTCGTCTCGGCGAATATTCCCCAATAATCACCTCGCCTTCGGCGAATAATTGTTAAATAATAAATGAGCTTAATTTTAAAAACTCATTAATAATTCATGAGGAAAAGACAAAGGAAATCACTACCGTGTCGGTGGTTTTATATGTGATAAAAAATCATCTTCATTTACATAAACTTTAGCTTTGATTTTCTCGGCTTAGACAACGTTGATTTTTAAAATTACTTCGTCAATGAACTCAGCAGATGCGTCGTTTTTTAAGCCATTTAAAACACTCGCAGTCCCTGCTTTATCAAAATTTATCGTTATCGTTCGACTGAAAAAAAATATCGCTCGGGTGAGCGATTTTAAAATCGTTACTGTCAAACGATAATTTTATCATTTTCGTTGTAGTGTGGACACCAACATAATTTTTTGACACATAAACAAGCTCTAACATACTTGCGGATAACCATCAATCAGCCATCTGCCGAAAACCACCTGAAAAATAACATAGACATTGTAGTTGGCCCGATACAGTTTTCAACAACGTCAGGTGTATATCATGATGCTTGTGATGTTACTCTGAGTGTATATCCACACCGGGCAAGCTTGAAAAATATGCCAGTCCACGGTGGGAATCGAACCTACGACCTTTGGAATACTAATAACATACCAAAGGTTCGATTCCCACCGTGGACAGGCATATTTTTCAAGCTTGCCCGGTGTGGATATACACTCAGAGTAACATCACAAGCATCATATTCACCTGAGTACACTACACCGACACATAAAAGGTTATAACAGTTTGAGTTTTGAGTTTAGGTTTTATGCAGCAGATATGAATGGTGCAAGTACAGTTCATTGATGAGTGTTTTGGACATGACGCTGCATGAGACTATTCGTCGCCATATTGCAAAGACATCAAAACGTCGACGTTATACTTGTATTTTTCTGGTTGTTGAATCCTTATCCGTCTCCATTTTCTGGTGTTTTTGTCACTACCTATACACTAACACAGATCGTTCTAGTTTAAACAACAAACTGTGAGCCCTCAGAGCCGTAGCGAAGAGGCTAAGCTCAACGAATGTACCGTCATTTGTTAGATTTTTCGGTAATATTTTCCGTAAATTTATCAAAATATTTGCTATAACTATTAATTACTTTTTAATCAGAGCCACTCAAATATTTTCGCTGACACAAAAACAATTTGCCGATAAATCCGTTATTTTGCCGACAAGATGTTTTCAGGAGGGGTGTCACACCCCACACCGCATCTAGCGACGGCCCTGGTCCGATACTTGGGCTACCAAACATTAAGTACTGTTAAGGCTAATTTCCACTCCGGAAAATAAACAGCGGATCGGACCGGGTAAGAACAAAACAAAATCCGCGCATGCTCCATCAGTAGAAATTTTTGGTTCCGATTGATCCGACGATGTTGCTGGCCGGTCCGCAGATTAAACCTGGCGACCAATCAAAATACCGTATTATCTCACATAAATTAAAATAATTAAATACCTGTATAAAATTTACAAAATGGAGAATGTGAGACTGGAACGAGCTCCATTTTTTCCCTTTTGCGATCCAATCATTCCACTTGTTCTTTTACTGGAAATCGCTTGTTGGATCGGACCGGATCGGAAAAACCTTCGATCCGGTCCGATCCCCTGCTTATTTTCCGGGGTGGAAATTAGCCTTAAGGTGATTGGTCATACAGGAACTCATCTGCCTGAGCGATCAATGTAAATATGGAATACAGTAGCTGGCAAGCCAATGATTAGCCAAAATCAAGCGCACAGTTGATCAGACATTTGTCAGTACCCCAACAAAATTGTTATAATCCAAACCTTAATTCCTTCTTTCTGCAACTCAGCCATTGATTCTTTGATAGCATTACTCTGTGGTTCACATACTTCAACTTCCATATTCACATTATGTTCTTTATAAGGTCCAATCAAACAATATTGATTCTTCAGTTCTTCCACAGTGACGGGAGCTTTTGATCGAATCACAGTATATATTCCACCAACTACAACATATATGCATTAATATTAATGGTGATCAACTCGACTGCGCTCTTTGCAGTGTGGATACAGTGTCGGGACAATGCCGTTCAGGCCTTATTTCTTCACAAGTCAAACAATAATTTGAAATACTGTATGGTTAAAAAGTAAGGGGGTACCGTGTTCATAATATTTCGACTTAATTACATTTTTTGAAAGTGGCAATGCACCGTGATGCGCCCTATATACTCTATTATTTTACCCTGTCTAATGCTAGATGATTTTATTCCTCAAGCTAGGAAGAGTGAGCTGGCACTCAAAGGGTTAATCAGACTACTGTATCTGCCAATTACAGTAATAAACCTTATGCATAATGACGGCACAAGGCTTGTTTCCCGCGAGGAATGCTGGTCTTGGTAGTTATCGCCAGGGAAAAAGTTCGATAGTGGCCATTTTGAATTGTTTAATTTTCCCGAGAAATGACTGCTAAGACGAGCATTCCTCGCGGGCATCAAGCCTTGTGACGTCATTATACATAAGGCCTATTAAATGGGAAATTGCTAGATAGTATACTTCAAAATAAGGTTTCCGTTTTTATATCATTTTTTAAAATAAGTTAGGGTTAGGTTAGGGTTGGGGTTAGGTTAGGGTTGAGGTTAGGTTAGGGTTGGGGTTAGGGTTAGTATTGGGGTTAGGGTTTAGTTTTGCGTTAGGATGGTTTTTTTCTACGTTATAAAAACGGAAACCTTATTTTGAAATATACTATCTAGCAATTACCCTATTAAATGATGCATCCTGTTAACCGATGTGCCCTACTTTATTATTTTACTCTGTTAACGCACAACAGAGGGGAGATCGAGCGCTGCCTCTCAGCAAGAACAGCCCTGGAAATTACTATTGGAGGCACCCATTATATATTATATATATATATTGTATATAGGGTTATTTTTACCCCCAAAAGGTTGCCATCCAGCCTGTTTCATTCAAGAGGAACTGCCAGGTGGCTGGCAAATTTTGAAGCTGGACATGCATGGACGTTCATGTGGGTGAAACATGGGCATGTGGATGTTCAAACAAACATGCATTCCCTCCACCTTTTAAGCTTGTTTCTAGGAATTTCTTTTAGAGATCCAATCAGAATGCTAGTTAATGCTTTAAAAGGCAATGCACCAAGATGCACCCTACTTTATTACTTTACTCCAGACGATTTTACTCGTCAGGGGGGAGTCTTCAGTACTGCGTGACTCAATGGATTAATCAGACTATCTGCCCAATGCACCCTGTTAAAACCCTTTAAGTGGCAATGCGCCGAGATGCGTCCTACTTTATTTTACTCTGTCTAACGCCAGGCAATTTTACTCGTCAGCGTTATAGAGTGCTGCCACTCAATGAGTTAACAATAGTGATGTCAATGTCATGATCATTCTCAAAAGATGGTAAATGCTTAGTGAACAGCAGGAAACCCAATGCAGATCATTTCTCGTTTAAAGGTAGAATAATTTGGGAACAACAAAAGATTTTGTGATATAATTCGGCGAGCTTGCAACAAACTTTACCTATTGCAATTAATTTCAATTTTTCCCTGAGCCAAAAGCATTCTGGGCGTATAAGCCCGGGGCGAGGAAAGCATTAGCGAAGTCTAAATTTCATCAAAAATTGTAGGGGCATGGCTTTGTTTCATTGTGCGTGGGAGGTCATCGCTGACCGTACAAATACAATAGACAGTTTTCATTTAATTATATTAAATTTAGTACTGTTCACAAAGCGTAAAATCTACAAAAGGAACACAAAAAAATCACATCATAAGTTTATTGTACCAGACATGCAGAAAATTCCAAAACAAGATGCATGGAATCGAGAACTATTCAGTTGGATGGATTATTGTTTACCAACTGAAGAGTTAAGTAATGCGAATGATCATGCGGGAGATGATCAGCAAAAGATATCAATCAAATTGATAGCTTTTTAATTGGCTGTAAATATTGAAAAGCTGGTCTGCCATTATTAACCAATGCCCCGATGCCCGAGCAATTGCACAGTTGATCAGACTAGTCAGACATTTGTAAGACCAAAGCAAAATTGTTATAATCCATACTCGCTTGCATGAAATAAGGCCTAAATATAAACAGCCCTAACATACTAACTACATACTAACTGCAGCTATAGAAACCTATCCAGACCTGCCAAGGTTCCCGCATTTCGCGTGATTTAAGTTACGCATTCTGCTTCTGTCCCCGTTGTCCCGCATGCATAACTAAAATGATCTTAAAGTTACGCATTTTTACCATTATATGATGCTATTAGGGAGCGGTTATTATTTATGGCGGGGGGTGGTGCCGAAGAGAAAAAGGTTGGGTAAACAAAATTTTGAGTAAGTAAAAGGTTGGGTAAATAAAAAACAAAACAACTCAAGGGTTGGGTAATAAAAATTTATTGTCATTTCCAAAGCATGACCCACTGAAATATTGGAGACTGAAAAGCAATGTCAACAGTCATTTGTCAATACAATACGTAAATCAATCAATCAATCAATCAATCAATCAATCAATCAGAGTCACTATCTTGATGATTTTAGATAGAACTTTTATTTATACACGCTGATCCCGTCAACCGAAGCTGATTTCCACGAGGGGCGTGTGCCAAAAAATTGAATAAGATTTTTACATGTACAGGAAAGTGATAGTTAGAGCTATTTACAAAAGTTTTAAGAGATATAGAATAACATATTAATGAGTATTAAAATAGTAACATATTAATGTCTAATGACAAAGTTGGCAGACTATTTACAGGCACATTATTTACAAAACTTATTCATAAACGTGAGCAGCGATTTTATTTCGAAAGGAAGAAAGTGATTTGCTTTCCCTAATTTCTTTTGGAATAGAATTCCAAAGTTTAGCTCCGTTGTACATGAAACTATTTTTCATGTTATTAGAACGAGGTTTTGGTAAACAAAGACCAGTTCAAGTTTGTTTTCTCACATTTATAAGATAATAGATTTGTGAGTGATTTGGGACCCATTTTATTTAATACTTTGTACATCATTTTTGCTTTAGCTTTCTTCCTTAATATTTTGAGTGGTTCCCAACCCAGTTCACACAAAGCAATAGAATGATTTACGTCATTGCTCATATTCAGGATAATTCTAGCAGCTCTGTTTTGAAGTTTTTGAAGTCGTTTTGATTGTGTTTCGCCAAACACATCCAATACTTCACAGCAGTAATCGAAGTATGGGCGAACAATAGCGTTATATATGGAAATAAGTGTTTCTTTGTCAACAAAAGGTTTGACTCGACGGATGGCAGAGATTCCTGCTGTTATTTTTTTGCAAATATTTTCTGTATTACTTTTCCAAGATAAATGCTGGTCAACTGTTATTCCAAGAGTTTTGCATTCATAAACTTGTTTAATTTGTTTATTTTCAATGACAATATTCGGAAGAGAATTAGGGATCTTTTGTTTTGAACCAATTAACATGAATTCGGTCTTGGCTACATTAAGGCTAAGTTTATTAGCAATTAACCATTCTCTAAGGTTTTCTAAATCATAATTAACTGCAACCTCAAGATCAGTTATAGAATCTCCCGAAGCTGTCAGATTTGTGTCGTCGGCAAACAACCGAGGTTTTGTTTTATTTAGACATTGAGGTAAATCATTTACATACAGCAAAAAGAATAGAGGCCCCAAAATAGAGCCTTGTGGTACGCCACATTTAATCAATCGCTCAGATGAAAAAGAGTTTTTATTTGACATTTCTGTTTTCGGTTTGTGAGATAAGATTTGAGCAAAGTTAGAGCTTGTCCTTTTATTCCATATAGCTCTAACTTCCTCAATAGAATTTGATGATCAACAGTATCAAATGCTTTTTTTAATCAATGACAAAACAAATGGTCTTTCCAAAGAAAGTGCATGTGCAGACAACATGAAACTTTAGACTGCAGAAAATTTCACAAGCCGTTATCAAACTCATGTCACAGAAGTGGTAAAAGACATGTGTGACAACTGAATGGTATCCTTTTGTAAAGTTTTTGGCCAGGGGTGGGTAATTATTTTTCAATTCATATTTGAGGTTGGGTAATCAATTTTTTGTCTTTTTAATGGTTGGATCAGCAAAATTTTTACCACGAAAAACATTTCTCTTCGGTGCCACCCCCCACCATAAATAATGACCGGTCCCTTATTGCACGCCGTTTGTAGCAATATTCAGGAATTAAAATTCAACAAAAAACTCAATATTCAACAAATATATTCAACCAGTTATATTCAACAAATATATTCAACCAGTTTATTCAACATTCAACAAATAATATATTCAACCAGTTTATTCAACATTCAACAAATAAATTCAACATTCAACAAATAAATTCAACATTTAACAACACAATTCAACATTCAACAAAACAATTGTTGAAATATGTTTGAGTATGTTTTTAATATTGAATTGTTTTGTTGAATGTTGAATTGTTTTGTTGAATATTGAATTGTTTTTGTTGAATGTTGAATTGTTTTGTTGAATGTTGAATTGTTTTGTTGAATGTTGAATTGTTTTGTTGAATGTTGAATTGTTTTGTTGAATGTTGAATTGTTTTGTTGAATGTTGAATTGTTTTGTTGAATGTTGAATTGTTTTGTTGAATTGTTTTGTTGTTTGTTGAATTGTTTTGTTGAATATTGAATTGTTTTGTTGAATGTTGAATTGTTTTGTTGAATGTTGAATTGTTTTGTTGAATGTTGAATTGTTTTGTTGAATTGTTTTGTTGAATGTTGAATTGTTTTGTTGAATGTTGAATTGTTTTGTTGAATGTTGAATTGTTTTGTTGAATGTTGAATTGTTTTGTTGAATTGAATTTTTGTTGAATATTGAATTTAGTTTGTTGAATTGTTTTGTTGAACATTGAATTTGTTTGTTGAATATTGAATTAAATTTGTTGAATTTTAATTCCTGAATATTGCTACAAATGGCCTGCCATACGCTATCCCACTTTTCATGGCATATTTGTTGAATTTTAATTCCTGAATATTGCTACAAATGGCCTGCCATACGCTATCCCACTTTTCATGGCATGCAACATTACCTGAAATAATAGTACAATAACTCATTGCCGCTGTGTGCAAAAGTTTTGAAGACGTGATTTGTGAAATGGTGAAAACTGAATTTCACCATTTGCTATTGATATGCCAATATCAGAGCTGCCAAGTGCCACGCATTTGGTCTGAAAGTCACGCTCTTAAATTTTGGTTTTGTAGATTGATTCTGTAGATCCGCAATATTTTCTGGCATTAAAAGGGGCTCTGAAAGTTCTCGATATACTGAAGCGGGGGGGGGGGCTATAAACTTTTCATAGTTTTGGTCCAGCAGGGGCCGGGAGTGTTCCCTCCCGCCATAATTAATAGAATAGACGGTTTGGAAACTCATTAGAATAACAATATAACTCATCATCTATGTTAGTGAAGTACCTTTAGAACTCTGTAAATCTCCTTCTGAAGTGCATGAAATGGTATTTCAGAGACACTAGTGGGATCTCCCTTCAATGTCACCCACCTTCGACGGGCGCTAAGTCCCCCCCCCCCGTTTAGAGCCGCTCCGACGCCCCTGAGATATAGCGATACAAATGTCGAAAAATCCGCCATATTGTTACTAAAAATAGAACAAAATGGCAGATTTTAAAAAATTTAAGTCATTATATTATCGCAAGGAATGGTTGTATTTCGAAACCGATAATTTCAGTTTTAAGATACC